ATTTCTCACCACATTTCATATTCAATTCACACATACTTCTCAATTACCTCATCATATAAACTAACATGGTTGATCATCAAGCATATTATCATGCACATAACATACTTTCATACAACACTCACATACTCACCACTCTTAAATCAACATATCATGTATATATGCACACTTCTCCTAACAATCACATATTCATCATTTTCAATTACACAAGTCATGTACACATACGTAAGCATAACTTTAATCAACAATCTATCCATGCCATATGGCTCACATAAAGCCCATCAATTCCACCAATTCCCGCTTGGGATTTATGGCTACATCACTCATACCCCACCAGGAACAACACATAGTCATTCTACCCCGGTGATCACTCCACTGGGTACGACATCTTGTCATTCTACCCCAATGTATGCGACTATATCGTTATACCTTACCAGGAACAACGACACAGTTGTTTTGCCCCGGTGATTGCTCCACTAGGAACGATATCATGTCATTCTACCCCAGTGTTCACGAGCCTTATACACATTCATTATTTTCAACATCATCATCATAATTTACTAAGCAATGTACATATGTTCATAATATATTTTCATGCACTCTTCACTTACAATTGCATACATACAACATGCATTACAACATTTATCAAGCAACACACACAATATGTTTATTTCAACACCGATTCACATAAACGTCAACATATCCATATATCTACACGTATACATATATCATTTAGCATATTCAATCATGTCTTTCGTCCCAATTCATATCAAATCACATAACATACACATATTATGTTCATTTCCCAATGCACAACGACAATAATGGTAAATGCAACTCATAGAGACCGACTCACAACTCTATGCAATTCAATACGGTACGACTTGATCGTTCAGCAGATTCTCCTAGGAATCATATCACTATCCCTCTACACGGGCACACAATCACTCAACAGATTCTCCTAGGAACCATATCACTATCTCCCTACACGGGCACATAATCACTCAACAGATTCTCCTAGGAACCATATCACTGTCTCCCTACACGGGCACATAATCACTCAACAGATTCTCCTAGGAACCATATCACTGTCTCCCTACACAGGCACATAATCACTCAACAGATTCTCCGAGGAATCATATCACGCAGCAGATCCTCCGAGGAATCAAGTCATTTGGTAGATTCTCCAAGGAATCAAGTCATTCGGCAGATTCTCCGAGGAATCAAGTCATTCAGCAGATTCTCTAAGGAATCAATTTATTCAGCAGATTCTCCAAGGAATCAAGTCATTTAGCAGATTCTCCGAGGAATCAATATATTCATCAGATTCTCCAAGGAATCACATCACTCATCAGATTCTCCAAGGAATCACATCACTCATCGGACTCTCCTAGGAATCCTATCGCTCATCGGACTCTCCTAGGAATCCTATCACTCATCAGATTCTCCTAGGAATTAACAACACAAGAATGTACTTCATGATGCTTCACTTGCAAAATGACTTCATACACCTCTTGAAATGCATACATGTTTACAAACATACTCATGCATTCTTCACATTCATCGCATATATTCATTATGCATTCACAATATATATACATATCACAATACATATATACATATTCGTCATTCAGTCGCAACATGCATTTCTATTCAGTTCAAGTAAATGCACCAAATTGCCAAGCGGCCACATTCCACACTTCACAAATCACAAACTAGGATTCACGCCATACGGCTACCCATAGCACACATAACAACATATAATTAATCATCTCAGACAAGGAACGATCGCAACCAAACCACACAACCAATCCACGAATGGAAAACACAAGAAAGGAAAATATGCTGCTGTGTTCGCTAACCTTCGCCTGGCGAAGCCTCTGGCGAACCTTCGCTACTTCGTTCGCCAGGAGAACTTGCCAACGAAGACCACTGGGAGTTATTCTAGAATTACTCGCTAGCACTCGCTAGCACACTCGCCTGGAGAACCTTCGCCACACTCATTCGCCTGGCGAACTTGCCAGCGAAGACAGTGTGTTTGCTACTGACTTGGTTCGCTGCTGCTCTCTGGGCTTCGCCTGGCGAAACTTCGCTGCCACTCGCCTGGCGAACCTGCGAACTCAGAACTCCCATGACTGTCCAAAAGCCCAAACCACCCAAACCGACCGATTTAATCCAAATCAGCTCCAGTAGCACAACCCATTCATCACCCGACTATACTACACCGTCCATTCCAAATTCTAACCGATAAAACTCAGTTTCTACCGATTAAACTCATTTCGACCTAAAATGGAAAAATATCCAAAAATACCCAAACAATCCAACACACATACACAATCATACACAATTATTAAGATAGTAATATTTCACATCCTTACCTTGATTAAATCGAAGCTTTGAGTTGCTCTCGATGATTTCCACACTTTTCTTCTTCTTCTTCTCTTTTCTCCTCCTTTTCCTTCTTTCTCTTTTTCTTCCCTTTTCTTTCTATTTCTATTCTTTATATTTCTTTCCATTCTATTTCCTCCATAATATATATTTTCCAATCATTTCCATAAATAATCCACTTAACCATTAATTAAGAATATCCAAAATATTTCCAACTTAATTTTCCAAAACTCCCCAAATGATAAAATAGCATAATATGCAAACTTAACATATTATCACACTATCCCTTAATTAAAATAATTTCAATAAATAAATTAATTAGTTAATCAAAATTGAGCTGTTACATTTTGTTCAAGGTTGCTGTTAGAAGAACAACATACAACGCAGAACCTTGAAATTTTTTCCAACTTTGTAATTCATCCCAAAAAATAATGTATACAAGTTTGGAGTGGTTAAATTTAAGGTAAAACTTAATGAAAGTGTGTTTCTATAGTAAAATCAAACCCCTTGGTAATTAAAGTAACCAAAGGAATAGATCAGTTAATTAACAAATGAAAAATTAAATAAAAAGAAAGACATCATTTTTAAAGAAATAACACTTAAACTACCTTTGATGGGTTTTGAAACATGTCATGGATTAATTTTTCCCTCGATTATATTCAATATTTGAGGGAATATATTGTATTTTTTTAAATAAATCACGGCGCTTCCTAGATTATTAAATGGTACTTTATCCCTCAACTTTTTACTGGGTGAGATGGAAGTGTTATCATAAAATGTATTATTTGTATTAGTGAGCTTAGATTAACCCTCTAAATTAGTATTATATTAATTTCTTAACAATTTAAAATTAACATTACTAATGTTTCGGTTGAGTTTTAATTTATTCTTAAGAAATGGGCGCATATGAACTAAAAAGGGTACCAAAAGCAATATGTCAAAGTCAAATCTCAACCCAAGGCCAAAAAGACCCAAGGAGACTGAAATAAAGAACATAATTGATTGATCTAATCGATTAGATTATTTTTAAGTTTCAAATGTCAATCAAAATTAAATTGTAACTTCTCCCTAAAGATGATCAAATCAGAGCATTGATGAAGAACGTGTGAAATATATAGATTTGATAGTTAATAATCGATTATTCCTTTAAAACAATCTTTTCTTCCAATCTTTTATGGGCCAAATAATCATGGGTTTTATGAAGTTTTTTCACATTCAAACAATCAAAACCTATTCCTATAATCAGTACATTATTTCCTCTCTTCTTCTCATGTCTTCTCTATTATTATTTTCTCTGTTTGTGATAGTACTGCTTCATTACACAAAAATTATCATCATGGCACCCAAGAAAATGAGAATTTCTACTTATGCCTACCTCTCCAATAAGTTTTCATCTCCAATGAGTTTTAGGGGTGTGCTTTGTGTCCTTACAAAGTTGGCTTGTAATGAGTTACATCAAACTCTAATATAGTATCAGAGCCTATCGATCGGACCTTGGGCCGCCCACCATTTATATAGAGTAACACTGCTCATCTTATTATAGGTCGGTATTGTATGATGAGTTAGGTCAAAATCTAATAGTTCAACTACAAGTGAGTTGGTCCTTCACTTGAACCAAAGGCTCATGATACCACTGTTACACCACATATTCACCAAAAACCTTAAGGTGATAGGTGTGTATGTTCTCCCACCTATAAATGCTCAAGTCTCCACATTCCTATCCAATGTGAGACTATTATCTACACTATTCACACTTGTTATACTAAGCACTTCCCCTTAAGCGGAAGCTTCAACTGTGCAGTTGTGCACTCTTGTGTATTTCTTGCTCATCACCCTTGTACCGTTGTTGACACTCTTCAACGGGACACCTCCTAACCAGTACTTTTGATACAAGTGAGTTGGTCACTCAAACTAGACTCTGATACCACTGTTAGGAGAGATTTTCACTAGGGAGAATTGAACATTGTGGAACTTTCCTTTTCTATAGAAAACCTTTGTGAGAGTCACACCACATATTCACTTAAAATCTTAAGGTGATAGGTGTGTGGGTTCTTCCACTTATAAATGTTTAAGTCTTCACATTCCTATCCAATATGAGACTATTATCCACACTACTCATTATTAGAACAAAGGCATTGTAATGAACACACAATGAATACGCAGCAAGATTGCAAGATGAAGGTAATAGTGCACACACACACACACTTTAATGTCTTGACATCTTAAAAGACATCTTGAAAGAAAAGAAGAAGAAAGAAGAATAGAGATAATTCTCATAATATTATTTCACATTACAGACTGATATTTATATGTGTTACACAATGTAACTAACTAACAGCCAATTTAGAAGAAACAAAATGCTAACTAGTACACATGACAATTATGAATTAAAACTCAACAGATCTAAGAAACAACTAATAAGATTTAACTTCTTAAAAATTATTGCACCTATACTTAGCAAATGAATTGGACAAATGCAGTGCTTTAAAAACATATTAATTATAATATCCAACCGCTAAACTTTATTTATTTTTCAAAGGATATTTTGTCCTTATAAGTAAATCCTTAATTGTAAATTGTAATTAGAAAGATTTATCCCTCCGCAATATTTCATTTTAACTATTTAGTGCCACAAATGATTTCAGTAGCTGGTCTGTGTCACCATCTATGTTAAAGAATTGCTTGAGGAACTCCTTGTATATGAAAGACTTTAAAATAGGATGATCATTCTCATCACTGATATCTTGTGCTGGCTGAATGAGACAATCATCTGATGGCGCTATGAAAAAAGCAGCACTTGTGCGAGTATGACTTGAATTGGTTACAGCTCGATGTTCAGCACTTATTAGCTTACCTTTACTGATTATCTGTATCCAATATTATAACACACCACAAATTAAGCGAAATAACAGTAAATATAATCTATATAGGTTGATTATTAAATCTACCTCCAACACATGACCTATGTTGATGACAAATGCATGAGGAAGAGGCTCAACAGCTATCCACTTTCCATCTTTTAATACTTGAAGACCACTTACACCATCTTGCATTAAAATGGTGATGAGGTAAGGATCTTTATGTTTGGTTAAACCAAGTGTTAAACTTGGTTTAGGACATGGTGGATAATGATTAACCGAGACGATCATTGATCCGGTAAGATCGTTATCAAAATGTCCACACTTCAAATAAAGTCCTTCACAAATCAAATCCAAGATCCTCGATCCCAAATCCTTAATTTTAACAGAAAAATTCCCAACACACTCTCTGCAAGAAAATATATTGATTTAAAAGAACTTATAACTACTTGTGCACAATTCATTCATTTATATTTACCTGTATGTAGTTGGATTTTCAGGCCATAAGTGTTGCCATTGCTCCAAAGGATGAGATGGGTGTCTAAGGCTGTCCCTCCATAGATGAACCTTTTCTGTTTCATATCTAAGAGTGCTAGTGAATATCTTACACGTTTTCAAGTCGTCATCAAGATATATGTTTTGCTTGTACTCATCTGGCATCTGAAACACCTCTTTGAAAACACTCATTGTTTCCTTCATTTCATTCAACGATATTCCATGATTGATAACCTTGTAAATCAAAGAAATGTCCTATGGTAAAAAGTGACTATTACAATTGGTAAAAAAAATAAATAAAGCATTTAGTATATGAACCTGAAAGAATCCAAACTCTCGAGCAGCCTTGATAATTTTCTGAATTGTAGTTGTTCTATCACCATTCTGTGCTTCATTTAGATCAATAATTGGGATGCTATGGCTGAATGGGATTTTGAGATCCTCCCCTGGTCTTGTTTCTGGTGGGAATATGTAGTTCTCAGGCACAGATTGGATATTTGACCAATTTGAAACAAGTTTCTCCATATCCCTTTAAAGTATTTGATTATGCTTCAATATCCAAGGATATTAATGGCAAAAATTTGGGAAGGGTATCTATAAATGTTAGTGGAGAAGAACAATGCAGTATGAGTATTATCATATATTTTATGCAGCTAAATGTGGTGCTTTATTATTAACGAGACAGCTGCGGAGATGTGGTTTTGTTGTATATAATTTATGCATTGTATTCTCTGAGTTGATCACGAGATAAGATTCATCGTGTCACGCCTTTCATATGTTGGTTAGAAAATTGGGTAGAGCTTTCAAAATATATTACCTCATAAGGTACGGGCCGTCATATTTGAAAAATTATACTATTTGAGTCTTAAAATTAGAGTTCATATTTGCGGATTTCTTAATGCATATTATATATTTCTTAGGCACCATGCAAAAATCTAAAAATACCTTCAATTTTCATAAATACATCCCCGGACTCACCCCAACACATACTCAACAAAGGTCATTCTGAATTACGCCCTATTTTTTTGTTTATTTTATTTCAGAAGTGCACCAGCAGAATGTTTCTGTAGTTACATTGCCGTAACACATACACATCAGTAGTAAAGACAAAACCTTATAATTTTCTAAAATAAAATTAAAATTCATAAAATAAAATTAGGATTACATAGATCATTTCAACATAAAATGAAATATTATTTCAATATTCAGGTGGATGCTTCAACATTTTCATAATATCTTCAATCGATCTTGAAATCGTCACTTCCAACTTGAGCAGAACTATTGTTTCGAAACGAAAATACGTATTTCACATAACTCTTACATCTGCTTGAGTCTTGAGATCAAATTCGTTTCAAATCTTCTCTCCTTTGTCAATCGATAGTGAACGGTACTCGAACTTTACAATCATTTGACTGACTTTGTAAGGTATGAGAAGGTGGACTTTGTTGTTGATATATTTGAGGGAGGTGAAATCGCCGAGCTTAAATGTTCCCCGGGTGTAGATCTGAAGAAGGAGATATTTGTGACATACTAGTTGATATTTATTTGTGACATTTGCAATTTGTGCAAAATATAAGATAAGAGCATATTAATTTATATAAGTCATTGATCAATTTGGACCACTCAATATTTGTCATGCTGATTCCAAAGATATATCTATGGATCTGCACCTTATTATCTTATTTTGGAGATCCATATTCGGAACTTCTTCTGAACCAGTTCCAAAACAGAACCCTTAAAACATAACCTTATTTTTTTATAAAAGAACATATGTTGTTATGGGGACGATTAAAAATGCATTAAGACACAATATGAATAAATGTTAAATATATTACACTTCATTTATATTGAGACAGAATAACATACACTTATTTGTCTGGTTAAATAATAAATTATAATGAATCGAAACATTTGTCGCTGGCTAAATCTATGGGTGGTTCCTGTCACACCCTCATTTTCACCATAACCTTTCATATCATACGCTCGTCATATCATACATCGTTCTATTGCATATCGAGCATGTGGGTCCGCAAGGTAAGGATTGAGGTGGTTCGTTATTTTCCGTTACAAATAAGATAAATTGCCTATCATGGGCTACATTGAAGGAAAGGTTCATCATTTAAGGTTTGGTTCAAGTTGGAAAGTCTACTCATGTAGATTCCTTCAGGGAGAAGTTACTTGAAAAATATTAGGATATTTAAGATCAATATTCCTAATGAACATGAAGTGCAAGGCCTAGTTCAAGATTTCTTCATCCAACTTTGTTTCAAGTGGAATTCAAAAGATCACAAGTTCATAATTCAAGACTTCATCCCTTTCAAATTCAATGGCATAAGGGAGATCCATAATTCCAAATTCAAGACTCATGAATTCAAGATTAGATTACAAAGAGAATTTCATGACATTACAAGAATGTCACATTTGTTACAAAGTTTCGAACTCTAAGTAGTGCCTAGAAAATTAAGTTATTTCTAATCTTAATTCAAGTTTCTAATCAACTTCATGCTATGGTACCCTTCATGCCCCATCAAGTCCACATGTTCCTCACTATGCTTACAAACCTCCAAGGAGAATATTTAAGAGGTAAATTACCATTGGAACATTTCAAAATCAAGACTATGAATGCTTAGTCATGGGCAATTTTAATATAATCCAAAACAGTCCCATGCAAGTGACAATTTGCCTCATAACCAAACATTTCATGTCACAAGACCAAAGGAATAAACTCATGGTGATGCATCTACCCAACAAATATCAAAATTTCAAAATTCTATCCAAGGTAGTAACAATGATCACAAGGGAAGTCCAAGCACAAGCCAAAAAACGGGTACAAGATTTGAGAGCAATGCAAAGTGCAGCAGAAAAAAGACATGAAGAAAGTGGCATTGGACACTTCTAAGTAAAAATCTGAAGTTTTGAAAGGAGGGAAAACCCTAATATTTTGGGGATAAGAAGGACAATAGTAGTAAAAAGAGGGGGAGGAACACATGAACATATTAACACAGAGAGAGAAAAATCATAAAAAGCATTGAGAGAAAAAAGAGAAAAGAGGAGAGAAACATTGAGAGCATTCACTAGCCATTGAGAGAACAAGGGAGGGATAGAAAACTAGAAGAAGGAAGTGGATAATAGAGCTCATCCAACAAAGATCATTGGTGAAGAAAGATAGTAGCTCTTGGGTATCCTTCCTCTCAAACTCTTATCTCTTTACATTTTGCATGTTTTATTTTTCAGTGATGTTTGTGTTGTATGTTGTAATATGGTCTCAAAGTGACCAAGAAATGTTGTAGAAAACAAAGAAAGAAATGAAAAAACATAGTGTAGTTTTCATAGTGAGGTGAGTTGAAAAATACTCACTTTTATTGTCATGTTCGCATTGCGAACATCCCCTTCACCTAGCGAACATCGGTTCATGGCACTCAAAATGTCAATTTTCCTTTGTTTTTAGCCAGCGAGTTGTTCGCTGGCACCTTCGCACTGCGAACTTTGGCTCCTTTTGCCTCTGTTTACAATCGCTAGGAGGTTCGCACAACGAACTTCTTGCTGTTTTTTCTGGGCAGCTTCGCTGCAGGGTGCGCACAGCGAACTTCAGTGCCTTTCGCTTCTATTTGTGAATAGTGCACATTCGCTGGGAAGTTTGCACAGTGAACTTCTTGTTGTTTTCTGGGTAGCTTCGCTACAGGGTTCGTACAGCGAACTTCCCTTAGTTTTGTTAGTTTTTTTTCATGTTTTGTGTTTTTTCAAGCCGACCAACCCAATGTGGTTGTACGACCATTGTATGCGGGTATTATTACGGTCATTTTTGACTTTTGGTTCCAAAAACTATTTTCAAAAATAAACTCTCGATTTTATCGAGCCATTTTCACCCTTGTAAGTCGATCGCCTTGTGCGTCGCCATCGACCTTGTTCGCATCACTTCAAATACTTTTACAAACAATAAAACCCTTGATCCAACATCAAGTGGTACTTTTCTCATAAAAAATCCAAAATACAATAAAGATACAATTAGGTTTACGCGCCATGAGGTTTAAAGTGGTGGAGAAGGAATGAGAATGGAACACTCCTACACTCGTTCCAAATGTTTTGAATATAAGGCGCTCGACTTGGTTATTCGAAACATTCATCTCTATCCAAAGTCTTTAGTGTGATCCGAATCAAAAATAATTTCTTCTAAAAAATCTAAAAAATAACATCAACTCATCAAACAATCTTTTCGCTAGGGCATCAATCCGAAAACCCTTTTTCAAGGTATAAAAAAAACCAACAAACAACCATTTCACAAGCCTCCGAACTACAGAGCTCTGATTCTTCACTTCTTTTAAATGAGGATACGTAGGCACAAGGGCCACAATCCTTGGCGAGTACTCTAATAAAAAAAACCCTCTTTTCCCTTAAGCAAGCAAACTTTTAGATTAAAACACCCATTCAAGCTAAACAACCTAGAAGGTTCCCATCGAATACGATGGATGTGACGGGTGCTAATACCTTCCCCTCGCATAACCGACTTTCGAACTCTAAGACTTGGTTGCAATGACCATGCTCTTTTCCCAAAGGTTTTGTCGTTATTTCCCTTTCCATCCTTGGGATAAATAAATTTTGATGGCGATTCTGTGTCATTTTTCGCGTAGTGACAGTTCCCCTTTGGACTTTTGTTCATTTGATTCTTTTTCAATGTTGTTCAATTTCTCAAATTCTTGCATCCTTTCTATAAAATGATTCGACCAAGTCTCGGCTTTTTTGGGTAAAAGAGTTGCCTACTTCGGTGATGTAAGTGGTATAAGGCATCCTAATTTCAAGTAAACTTGAACAAAATGACTTTATTTTGAAGGCCATTCAATACTTAATATACGATCAATTGGATTTTGAGGTGGGGCGGTGCACAGTGGGAAAAAAGGTTTCCAAAAAACTATATTGTGTCATATCAACACACACTCTATCATACGCACATGTTATTAGGTGACCCATTTCAAGGAAGCACATTCATTTTCCTCTAGTGTCGGACCGCTAAGGCAAGGAACAAGAGACTCATAAATTTCATCGAATTTTTCTTTCTTTTCGTACAATCGTGTGTATTATTCTTTATGTGTCTTCAACTCTTGGATAAGTTGATGGAGGACAAGTGTATGATTATATTCTCTTTTATCGAGTATAGCTGAAACTTCTCGATAACCGCAATTACCGTCCCTCAGAACATTGATGATTTGCTCTATGTATTTGTGCATAAAAACTGGTATCTCGTCAATGAATGGAATCTTTTGTGGAGGCAGCGCAGGATGTAGTTTTCTAATACGAGCTCCTTTGACAACACTTTTTTGAGATTTTGGAATTGGTAAGTCAGGAAAAACTTTGTTATCATGTTCAAAATATGAAGGAGACCGTGTAGTCGAATTATCATTCGGTGTGTGTTTCATTTTCTTCTGAGCACCTTTTGTCTTTACCAGTCAAGAGGGCAATTTCATGTCAGTGGTTTCCAGATAGGAAATTTTTGATGTGGAGTTTCATGTTGTCATAGGCTTTCAAAGATA